CTAGGAAAGAACTTTTGAGTGTTCTAACTACAAAGACATGATAAATATTTGAGGTGATGAATGTGCTAATTACCCTGCTTTGATCATTACTCAATGTGTACATGTATAAAAACACCCCACAGTACTCCATAAATATGTACGATGATTATATATCTATTAAAACCAAATGAAGCCTAAAAATACAAACACTACCATTAGCAACATGATTATTAAATCCATTTAAAATGTATTTATTTATCCCAGAGTATATTTCCCTATGAATATACAGTCAATTTGTTATGACTTAAATTCGTTTCAAATAGTCCCTGTGTCTGTGGTATGTCACTGACTGGACAAGCGGTTATGCTAATTTTACATTTTGCCTTCATTATTTAGGAACTGATATATTTGGGATCTCAAATTTTTAATTTTACAAAACATCTGCATGCACAGAAGTTCCAAAATGGTAGTTGCAAGAATGCCAGGTTAGTGGTGAGTTTGACTACAAATAGGTATTAGGGGTTATGGAACTCTGTATTTTGATTGTGGTCTTTTTTCCGTGGGCTTCTATATTTGTCAAAATAAATGGAAGCATGAACTTAAAAATGGAGATATTTACTGAAAATTATTCATCAATAAAGTTGATTAAAAATTTTTTAAAGGCTCCAGCTCTAGCCAGGATAATAACTGATCAATGCTTATATGCACATATAGTGGTAACATTCATCAGGTGTTGAGCAAGAGGGAGGGGGGAGAAAGAGATGGATATATTCACCATATGTGCACCATCTGGGGCATGGACACCCTTGAAATTCTGACTCAGGTGGGGCAAAGGCAATATATGTAACCTAAACATTTGTACCCCTATAATACACTGAAAAAAAATTTTTTAAGGAAACAAAAATATGAAAACGGTAAACAGAAGAAAGAAAACACAGACAGACTGAAGAAGCAAACTTCAGAAGGGTGGACCCAAGTTCATTATGTTTTGTCCCCCACCAGTGTAGAAACTGCCTGTCTCATATTCAGTGCTTAACAAATTTTGGTTGAATTAGTAAATGAAATATAAAGGGACTATAATCTAGCCAGCGCTATCTCAGACACCACAGCACATGAGGCGATTTGTCTCCCATATATATATTTGTCTCCCATCAGGATACATTGTTTGTCCTGATTCCACCCCAACCCTGAGGACCAAATCTGTTCCTCTTTTTTCTTAACCACTCTGGGACACATCTGCCCTGCTACCTTTCACACATGACCTGCACACTGTCTTGTTCTATTTGTGTTTGTAACAAGTCGGATAGAGTTGGCTCTTTCTATATGGAAAATATATATGTCAAGGGGCAAAGCTAAATTTTCACTTACAGGATTAGGGAGAAAAACCGGGTACTAAAGGAGACTGGAATTTCTCAGCTGACTAAGAAGCATTTAAGCAAGAAGGGAAGCATCCATGTTTCAAATCCTGCAACATTATCAGAAAGGAATGTAAGGAGACAAATCTTTCAACATGATAGTTAATCCAACTTACATATGATGTTTTGTTTTCTTTATTTTATTTTTTTCCTGAGCACAGATTACATGCAGGAAGGCACTTTTGTCATAATTCTTGCCCCCAATGAGCTTAAAAATGTAAAAAGGAAGAAATACCCAAGTGGCTTCAAAGCAGGACAGTAAGTGATGTATGCACACAGCAGAGTACAATGAAGTGCTCTCTGGGTTCAGAGGACGGAAAAACTGATTCCTTCTTATGGGTCAAGGAAGATTGTGGGAGGAAACAGCATTAAAAATGGGCTTTGAAGGATTAGTCCTACTTAAAAAGTGGAGACCAGAAGAAAACCACTCTATACAAATTTACAGAAATTAAACTGGTTTATAATAACAAATAATTGCTAGTCAGAAAGAGAAACAAAGACGTAATTAAGTTGAAATGAGGACCTAAGGGTGGAGTCCTAATCCAACAGGATTAGTGTCCTCAAAAGACGAAATACACAGTTCTCTCTCTGCCTCCACCTCTCTCTCTGTGTGTGTGTGTGTGTGTGTGTGTGTGTGTGTGTGTGTGTGTGCACCCACCATGGAAAGGCAAAATGAACACACAGTGAGAAGGCAGCTGTCTATAAGCCAGGAAGAGAGCCCCCACCAGAAACTGAATCTGCCAAGATCAAGATGAATTTCCAGTCTATAAAACAGTGAGAAAATAAATTTCTCTTTTTTAGCCACTCAGCCGACTGCATTTAACTATGGCACTCCACGAAGACTAATGCACTAACCAGTTCAGGCAATGCTGAAAAAACTGAAGCCTCCCTACCTGAGGGGCTGTTCCTGTGAGAGTTAGGGCATGGAGAGGAGAAGAGAACCAACCCTTCTGAGAGCGCCTTGCCTCCAGGGGTGAAGGGTGGGCCAGGTGCTGACACAGCACGCCCAGTCTCTCTCCTGCATTCACCAATGAGGCCATCCACTCAGTTTTCAGAGGAACAAGTAAGGGTGAGAAAAGAAACAAAAATTTTTAGGGAAAATTCTCCCTTAGGGGAACTAGAAGAGTAGGTGACACTCTCACCTGCTGGCATGGCAATGCCCATGAAATCATCCTAACAGAAACCTAGAAACCTGCATTCTTTGGAAACTTCTTTCTCCTTTGGTGTTACAGTCACCGAGTCATTTCTCTCCATAATTTCCATAATCTGGCTTTTCCTCTCTGACCCCACGGACATGTGGTCCTTCTTTCATCATGTGTGACATAGATCATGGCCACTATCCCTCCCTGTACGTTACAATCCACATCTCTCCATATCTATGCAGCTCTCTGCCTCAGAGTTGCTACATGAAATGACAACCTGAGCATGTAAGTGTCAAGCTTAAAATATTTCGATTGCTTTGTGAAAAAAAAAAATCCAAACTCTTAAGTAAGCTATTTTATACACAAAGGATTATGTATATCAAACACCAAAAAGAGAGGAAAAAGGAAGTGTAAGAAGCAAAACTGTGGCCAGTTGCAGTGGCTCACACCTGTAGTCACAGCAATTTGGGAGGCTGAGGCAAGAGCATCACTTCAAGCTGGGAGTTTGAGACCAGCCTGGGCAACAAAGCAAGATGCCATCTCAAAAAACTAAATAAATAAAAAGAGGAACTCCTTGTACCAGTGAACACTTCTAAATATAGATGCAAGACCTGAAATTTATATCAAATGCAATGGAGAGAGAAGGAGAAGGAAGTGGTTAGTTAGTTAGGCTCTCTGGACACACAAAATCCTAAAAGAACAATCTGAGATAAATGGGACACCCTATGATTAGAACCCAGCCTTAGTAGGGTGTCTCAGTTATCCTGGGGGAGTGCAGTACTCTTCATCTGTCACCACCCTTCCCCAAGTTCCCTCTCCTTACACTGTCAATACACAGGCCACCCGCATCCTTTTGTCCTCCTTTGCCTGAGCTCTTATCGGCCCACTCCTATCAGTGGATTTTTACTGCCCTAGAGAGAAAGTCTCCTCAGAACTCAGATGACATGTCCCCACCCCACACAGTCTCACATTCTGCTCCGTCACTCCCTTCCCACCAGCAGAAACTTCAGCCCCCCTTTCCACTTCCCCTTTAGAGAAACCCCACAGCCCCCCACAACCACATGCGGCTTGCAGGGCCTTTCGTTTCCCCTCCAGCTCTGATTCAAGTGTTTCCCCCCCTTTCTGACCTCCAGTAGCAGTTTCTGTCTCTCTCCTGTGTCCTCCCCCTCTCCCACCTACAACAACAAAAAGGTTTCAGCCTCAGAGCTAAGAAAACTCCAGGATGGACCACTTCCTAGAAGCATTAATCCCCCACTGTGAAATGGCTGACATTCCTGAAAAAACTTGATATTCTCTAATTCAATTTCAATTTTAACATTCTTCCACTTGTTTCTGTTTACATAGTGTTTTCTTTGTCTTCTCTGCTTTCTTGTCCTCGTTTCTTACTTTTCTATGATCTCATATTGTCCTCCACTTACTCTTCTCTAAGTTCCTTGGCTCTCCTTTCTATCTTACCAACAATCCTACGTAAACTCCCTATACACATTCATTCTAAGCACCACACTAGCTAAATTTTGAGACCTAAGGCATTACATTATCAGTTGATCCTTAGATTTCCGTGTGTAAATAAATGAACTACAGGCAAGATATTTTCACTGCAAGATAGAAGACAAGATAACAAATAAAAAAACCAAAACTACAGAATATATAGATACACTAGATAAGCTATAATTTTAAAAGTTATTTATACATGCGTACATTGAACTCACAAGATAAGGAAATCTGCAAAAGTCAAATAAGAAATTAAAATGTAAGGAGAGAAATAGAAGCTGACGCTTGAGATTCCCAGGACATTGTTACTCAGCGTTAGGTCCCAAGAGCTTTGACTACAGTATCCACCTGGGTCATGAGGTAGTCTTGAGATCACCCGATAAAGGTGCAAGTTGAAAGGAAAACCTTCCACAACACTGTTGATAAAATTGGTCTAGGAAAAAATCCATCCAATTGAACCAAAAGCTAACAAGGAACCTTGAAGTCACCTTAGGCTCTAGGCAAAAATTTTTTAATTGTTCTTACAAAGCTTTGTAATCACAGCTTTGCCCTCACATAAATTTGGAGTTAAAAATATTCTACTTGTTTTAAAATGCCCAGTCCAAAAGATTAGCAATAAAAAATGGTACCAAGCTGGTGATAGCACTATGTCACTCAGCAGAAGGAAACACAAAACTGATTTCTAGAGATCTACAGTCAATGTAATCTTTTTTGTGATATAGACAGTCCTTTCTTTGCACAGTTTCAGTATGCACGAATCTCAATTATCATGGTTTAGTTAAACAACACAAATTCCCCAACAACAGGGCAAAAATTTCAGTTGCCATGGTATTTTAACTGCTAGTAATTGCACGCGGTACAAATTACTATTAGCTTTTCAGCATGAATCGCCATGGAAATATAAATGCACATCATAGTCAGTGAGCGATTACATCACACATTTCAAAGGTTGTCAGTGGCTGTTAATCTTTTCTGTGCAAAGACAGCATAGCATGCAGTTGTGTTGTCTCCTTGTATCCCAGTAATAAATCCATGTGACATCTTACATGGATGGATGATAGAAAGTGGAAATTGGGCAACAAAGATCAAAGTGTAGAAAAGAAAAAAGACAATGCTAGAAGTCAGATTTGAACTAAATATGAAAGAAATTCCAGAAGAAATAGCTGACTGTGGGAATGTTGATAATGCCACTGCTTCAGAGACTTCTCAGTATAAAGCTAGAGGAACAGAATGACAGCAAACTTATCAACCTAAACAGGAAAGTGGTTGTTGTGAGAAGAATGCAGGTGATCCATTGAAGTGACATCTACAGAAAAGCTCCCATTAGAAGAACTCTCAGAGGTATTCCTCAAGAACAAAAACTCAGAATATAAAATATTGGACTTAGAAAGGAGGATGAAAATTCACTAAGGCATAAAACAGTACTCTGTATCTCTAAGTTATATGTCAAGAAGAAGGCACATGCTGTTTAAAACACACTCTTGGTAAGTTTTTACAGAGAAAAAAAAGTCCTTGTTCTGGATGTGTCTAATGTTTAAATTATAGTGTACTTAGTAAATATTAGTCTTAATATTTTTTCACATTTCTGTATATTTATAACCAACTGTATAGAGTTCTGAATATTTTGACAAAAAGTTCTGAAGGTCCCAGGATGATCGTAATTTTCTCTACCATGTATTACTGAGAACACTTTGCATGGTTTCAGCTTGCATGATTAAGTTTTTTGGTCCTTCACTAACATGCAAAACAAAACTAACTTAATATTGTAGGATTTGGAGTTAAAATAAAAAAACTGTAGTTTGTGATGCATCAATGATGTCTTCTTAGGGATATTATCACTTCACTTTTCTTTAAAGAATCTCTTAATCCACAGAAGTTTGCAAGCAATTAATTATATACATTGAATTGGGATTCTAATATCATTCTGCTTATGGCATTTATTCTACTTAAATACCAGGACACTTTATACCCATATTAAGATTCATGCCTGTTTTAAATATTTTCATGTCAAAAGAGGTATGTGGCATTCTCTCTGAAATAGAATTGCTTGTGCATTAGGATGAAGTTAGAGGTAGGTCAATCAGTGCCTTTTTCTTAGAACAAAACCAAAACTATATCTCAAGAAGAATCTTGAGTGCTCCCTAGGAGTGCTAATCCTTGAGTAGATCTCCAAAAGCCACAAGTAATGTCCAATTGCCAATTCCACCCATAAGTCAACTTATTATGAAAGTTGCTGCTCTGCATTTAACAGGTAAAATAAAATAGTTTTACATAAGGTATATGTTAGAATGTAGGATCCAGAGTTGCTACTGCTCAAAAATAGATTACTTCCATATTTAATTAACACTAGGAGAATATTTAATTCTAATTGTAATTAGAATGTATTCATTTTTATAGAAAACATAAAATCTACCCTTGAGTTTGCCAGAATATCAGAAAGATGCACCTCTGGACCAGATCCTGTTGTGTTGTGTTGAAATACTATTTCCATTTTTTACCCTAAGCTGACATAACCACCTTACTTTAAGAGACTTAATCACAAGCAGACCTATGGACCTCATAATATTTACTGAAAGAACTTTCCTGAGAACATTATTCACTACATCAAATAGTTTCTCTGCTATGGGAGCTGATAGGAGATAATTCTTTGTGGCTTCAGGACCAGAAATAGCTATATTCTCCTGAACAACTTATTGTCTGCATCTTCTAGACAGCGAGACTATGTAACCAACTTGATCTTATTCATGTTATGGTCCTCTAATAACCGTGTATAAGATGTGTAACATGATACATTTTTAAAAATTTATGGCTGGGCCTGGTGGCTCACACCTGTAATTCTACTATTCTGGGAGGCCAAGGCGGGCAGACCGCTCAAGGTCAGGAGTTCGAAACCAACCTGAGCAAGAGCGAGACCCCATCTCTATTAAAAATAGAAAGAAATTAATTGGCCAACTAAAAATATATAGAAAAAATTACCAAGGCATGGTGGCACATGCCTGTAGTCCCAGCTACTCTGGAGGCTGAGGCAGAAGGAATGCTTGAGCCCAGGAGTTTGAGGTTGCTGTGAGCTAGACACCACTGCACTCTAGCCTGGGCAACAGAGTGAGACTTTGTCTCAAAAAAATATATATATACTCCATTTTTGTCTTCATCTTATTTTATTGGCCATATATTTCCCTGATTTCAATTCTTATATTATTATTGACATACATTTCATATTATGTGCATACTTTTGTAAGTAATTTTTTGGAGATTTTATCATTTAATTCCTTTATTGTACTTCAGTAGATTTAGGGGTACAAGTGGTTTTTGGTTACATGGATGAAATGCGTTGTGGTGATGTTTGGGTTTTTAGAGTACTCATCACCAAAAGAGTGTACAGTGCACTTGTAAGTAGTTGTCCTTCCCTGACCTCATTTCCACCGTCCCCCTCTGAGTCTCCAATGTCCATTATACCACTCAGCATGCCCCTACATACCTGTAGCGTAGTTCCTACTTACAAGTGAGAGCATGCAGCATTTGGTTTTCCATCCCTACATTTCTTCACTTAAGATAATGTCCTCCAGTTCAATCCAAGTTGCTGAAAAAGATGCTTTTTATTCTCCTTAATGTGTGCATACTATTTCATGCTGTATATATACCACATTATCCTTATCCACTCATCAGTTGATGGGCACTTAGTTTGCTTCCATATCCTTGCAATTGTGAATTACGCTGCAATAAACATACAATTGCAGATGTATTATGCTGGATCCAATGGTAGGTCTACTTTTAGGACTTTGCAGAATCTCCATACTGTTTTTCATATAGCTTGGACTAATTTACATTCTCAACAGCAGTGTATAAGCATTCCTTTTTCACTGCATCTGTGCCATCATCTATTGTTTTTGGACTTGTTAATAATGGCCACTCTGACGGGGTAAGATAGTATCTCATTGGGATTTTAATTGGCATTTCCCTAATGATTAGTGATATTGAGAATTTTTTCATGTTTGTTGACCATTTGTATATCTTTTTTGAAAAATGTCTATTCATGTATTTTTGCCTACTTTTTAATGGACTTATTTGTTTTCTTCACCAGGCTTTGTATTAGTTCCTTATAGATTCTGGATATTAATCCTTGTCAGTTGTGTAGTTCATGAATATTTTTTTCCTACTCTGTAAGTTGTCTGTTTTCTCTGTCGACTCTTTCTTTTGCTGTGCAGAAGCTTTTTAGTTTAATTAAATCTCACTTATTTTTGTTTTTATTGCTTTGCTTTTGGGGTCTTATTCACAAATTCTTTGCGTAGGTCCTAGGCCAATGGCAAATATAGTTTTCCTAGATTTTCTTCCAGAATTTTTATAGTTTCAATCTTACATTTAAGTCTTTGGTCCATCTTGAGTTAATTTTTGTGTATTGAGAGAAATTGAGAGAAATATATGTTTCTTCTCCATGTGGATAGCCAGTTTTCATAGCACCATTTATTAAATAGGGTGTTCTTTCCTCAGTATATGTTTTTTGTCTACTTCGTTAAAAATCATTTGGTTATAGGTATATGGTTTTACTTCTGGATTCTCTACTCTTTTCCATTAACATATATGTTTTTCTTTTCTTTTATACTCATATCATGTTGTTTTGGTTACTATTGCCTTACAGTATAATTTCAAGTCTCGTAATGTGATGCCTCCAGATTTGTACTTTTTCCTTTTTTTTTTTTTTCCCGGAGATTTTTTATAAATGTTTCAATCTCAGTACTCCTTATTTATCTGTTCAGGGTTTCCCTTTCCTTTTAATTCAAATGAGACAAGTTGTATGTTTTCAGGAACTTATCCATTTCCTATAGATATTCTAGTTCATGTATATAGGTGTTCATAATAGTCTTAGATTATCTTTTATATTTCTATGGCATAGGTTACAATGTCTCCTTTTTCATTTCAGATTGAGTTTAGTTGAATCTTGTCTCTTTTTTTTTTTTTTTTTTTTTTTTGTTAACTTAGCGTTCTCTCAGTTTTGTTTCTTTCAAAAAATCAACTTTTTCTTTTTGAGACAGGGTATCTCTCTTTCACCCTGGCTGGAATGTAGTGGCATTATCATGCCTTACTGCAACCTCAAACACCTGGGCCCAAGTGATCCTCCCACCTCACCTTCCCAAGTAGCTCAGAATATAAGCATATATCAATCACATATCTAATTGATTTTCTTTTTTTTAGGCAGAGATGGAGATCTGATTATGTTGCCCAGGCTGGTCTCGATCTCTTGGCCTTAAACAATCCTCTTGCCTCAGCCTCCTAAAATACCAGAATTACATGAAGGAACCACCACATCCAAACTTTAACTTTTTATTTTATTTATATTGTTGATTTCATTTTGTTCTCAATTTCATTTAGTTCTGCTCTAATATTTATTATTTATTTTCTTTTGCTAGCTTTGGATTAGTCTTGTCCTTGATTTTCTAATTGCTTGAGGTGAGAAGTTAGGATGTCAATTTGTAAACTTACTGTCTTCTTGATGTAGGCATTTAGCACCACAAACTTTTCTCCTAGCATCACTTTTGCAATATCCCACAGGTTTAGATAATTGGTGTCACTGTTATCATTAGGTTCAATTTTTGTTTTTAATTTCTATCTTGATTTCATCATTGACCCAAAGATCATTCAGGAACAGGTTTTTAAATTTCCAAGCATTTGTATACTTCTGAGATTTGATGTCTATGTTTATTCCACTGTGGTCTGAGAAGACAGATATGATTTTGAATTTTGAATTTTACTGACACTTATTTTGTGGTTTCTCATATGGTCTACCATGGTGAATGTTTCATGTGCTGATGAGAAAAATGTTTATTTTGGAAATTTGGAGTAGAAAGTTCTATAAATGTCTGCTATGCCCATTTGTTCTAGAGTCCAGTTCAAGTCCAGTGTTTCTTTATTGACGTTCTGCCTCAATGATCTGTCTAATGCTGTTAGTGGAGTGTTGAAATCCACCACGAGTATTGTACTGCTGTCTATCTCTTTCCTTGCTCCTAGTAGTATTTGTATTATGAATCTGGGAGCTCCAGAATTAGTTGTATATATATTTATGATGCTTATAATTTTTGTTGGATTGTTACCTTTATCATTGTATAATGACTTTCTTTGTCTCTTTTTACTGTTATTGTTTTAAAGTCTGTTTTATTGATATAATAGCTACTCACTTGTGATTACCATGTACCTGGAAGATTTTTTTCAACAGCATTACCTATGTCAACAAGAATTTTTATAAATTAAGTGGTTCTCTTGAAGGAAGAAGATATTTGGGTTGTGTTTTTTCACCCATTCTGCCAATCTATATCTTTTGTGTGGGGTATTTAGACCCTTTATATTTAAAGTTAGTAATCATATGTGAGGTACCATTCCATTCGTTTAGTTAGTTGTTGCTTAGTTGGTTTGTATTCTCCATTGTGGTACTATTTGATAACCCCGGAGAGTTTTATACCTTCAAATGTTTTTATACTGGTGAGTATTAGCC